TGTTATCGTACGATTTCATTGATATTTATATTCTGTCACTGCGCATTGCTACTGTTATAGATACTGTATGGATATGGATACTGTGATTGATTCATTGATGCTATGGTTATGGATACTATGGATTCATCTCTTGATTCATTGATACTATTGCTTCTACATTGTATTGAACTGCTGCATTTGATTCATTGCTAGTATAGACTGGGCTTTATTGTATTGATTTGATGATTTCATACTGATCGACCTGATAGTATTGTTTTGATTGATACGATTGATTTGACTGATCGATTGATTTCCTACTGTTTATTGATTCTTCTACCGCTGCATTGACTACTGATTTGATTTTCGTATCTGCATAGATTCATTGATCATGTGCAATAGACTGTTATGGATTTGATTGACTGACATGCATATTGTTTCCAGTATCGTGCTTTGATTTCAGTTATAGGTATTAAGTGACCTGCTGGGCTTTTTGAAGCTCATTATATGTAGTTAATATTTTCAGGTCAGGGCAAGGGAGCAGGAGATTGAGGTTGATCAGGAATCTCCAGGTTTTTGTTCTTTTGGTTATAGTGATTCTTTTGTACTCATGAGATGATAGATTTCAGTTCATAGTGTAGCTCCTGAGTATTGTATATGATCTTTTGAGATATGATCGACTTGTACATTGATGTTATAAATGTTATAGATTTTTGCTAAACTGTTTGATTGAAGTTATAGATAGCTCTGGTAAATGATTTTAATGAATTGCTTGAAATTCTTTCGAAGTTAGATCTTGGGGCGTCACAGTTACAGACTAGGTTTGAAATAATTTTCAACTCCAGTTAATTAACAGAAAAAAAGTTCTATTAAACCTAATGAAACCCATAATAATTCATTAATATGAGTTAAAATCCAAGGGTATAGAACAACTAGAACAAAGTCAAATCGTAAATTTATATCAATAATTAGGAAAACGGATGGAACAAAATACCAATAGCAATCCCAAATGATAGAGTTCAAAACATATAAACTTCACACTCCTAGTGTAAAAAACCAAATAGATTATGAAATTTATTTATGTAACTCCAGTAAAAAGCCTTGATTGATTGCAACTCAATTCATAAAAAAATAAAAATATATTGAACAGAGATAAGAAAAATCATAGGGAAATCTCTCGCCATGACCACAAAAGTCTAAGAAAAACTTTTACAAAATGTATGAATATGAACAGTGCTGTTACAAATGGTTAATTATATTCAAATTCAACATGGGACAACACTGCAAATTCCCTCATGGCCTCAATACAATTAATGAAGGTCGAACAAAATCATCTAACATTCCTTTATGTACAAAACATACACGTACAAAATGCAACTAACCTAATCACTAGAGGTTATTATCTTAGTATCATATTAATCATATCCACAAGCATACACATCCAATGTATGTATGATCATACTCAAAGATCAATAATAAAATGACAAGATATATGCAATAATATCATAAATGCGCATAATAGATTCTATCCAACCGAACCTATTATAAAATAATTACATTGCATATCAATCACTTGCAAAATATTATTTTTTTATAATGAAATGTTATAAATCACCACCAAAGAATACTCAATTTAAAAATGTTTCAATATCATAAAATAGCTTAGATTACTTTCTAAGAGTATCTAAATCTCAATTTAAGTTCCCTAAAAAGCCTGAAGCCATGCTCTGTACGTTCTCCAAACATAAAACCTGGCGATCCAATGAGAAAGAGAATACTTGGGCCACTTCTAATTTATTCTTTAACTCAGATGATGATTAGATGAAATGGAGTAGGTGTGAGGATTTGGTTTTGACGGTAAGTTTTCCTTCAATAATGGCTTTTATTCTATTAGGGGCTGTTTGGCAACAAGCAGGATTTAATTTTAGTAGGATTTAGTAAACCTTGTAAATCCAGATTTAGTGAATCCTGGGTATGTTAAGTCCTAAAAAATGTTTGGCAAGATAATTGTTAAATCCTGTGAAACAGTTTGTCAATGTAATCTAGGATTTAAAGCTGTTGGTTCATTTAAAATAAAAATTTAATGTGTTTTGAATTTAATTTGAGTGTTAAGTGCTAGTTGAGAATTAATTTCAATTTTAATTACTGTCAATAACTTATAATAATAGATAATATTATTAGAAGCATACTTAGTTATCAAATAATTTAATTAATAGTTTAATTAATAATTATAGTACTAATTATCAAGCTACTTATTTAAGTATTAATTTAATAAGTATTTAATATCTAATTATATTGATTATATAATTAATTAGTTTTTTTAAATAACTATTTATGGAACACTTATTAATGATTTAATTATTATTTAATTAAATTTAATTATTAACATTATTATTAATTAACTCATTAAGCATTTAAATTTTCTACTATTAATTCATTATTGGCGTGCTTCGTGCAGTAGTGTGTTGAAAGAGTGGCTAAAGCTTCTTCGCCTCATCCTTTGACGTTGTTGGATCGGAAGTAACTTGCCCGCTATGAAGATAACCATCTTCGCCCCCTCCTTCAAGACGGGAGCTCGCTCACTCATTGGAGGAGAACTTCGCAAATCCCTAAATCCCATCAAATCCACCCAACGACCCGGATTCAGGCCATAAATCCATAAATCCAGTATTTAAGATCAATTTGGATTTATTGCACGATTTCAAACCGTTTGAATAGGATTTATAACAAATACTGCTTAAATCCCGCTACCAAGTAGCCCTTTAAGTTTAATACACACAGAAACAGGTGGGGAAAATAAAATAATATTTCATCAATATAGCAAAAATCAAGATCACGGGCATGGGCGGAGGGAAGGGGGTAGAGGGGGGCACGTGCCCCCCTAAAAGAAAAATTCTCTAAGAGAGAGAGAGAGGGAGAGAGAGAGAGAGAGAGAGTTCAATTGCAAAATAAAATCACATCCAAAAGATCAAAAGTACTTTTATTTCTATACATTTTATCTATGATATGTCATCAATATTTTATCTTGATCAGGCAAAATCAAGTCAAAAACTTCCAAAATTAAATTGGATACCATCCGAACTCTGATTTCTGCAAACTTATAGTCTAACTGAACGTCTCAGAATAATGAACCCAACAACACCAAATTCGACTCAATCTAAGCCGAAATGGGTCCAAATCGAAGGCCTGGAGCGCATTTGGAACGCTCAAACTATAAATTGGATAACTAAATGATTTTCAAACGTGACATGCTTAATGTCGAATCGATTAGCTCGACGAGACAAATCCAATGAGCCCAAAATCGCCAAATTTTGATATCATTAAAACATTCAAATGCCCGATAAATAGTTCACGATCAAGTACATCATAATATGTATATGCTACCTTCGTGTTATTCATTTGAAGATGTTTGCCAAATATCTTTCCAATGAAAAAGAAAGTACTTCTAGTTAGTAAAATGTGGTCTTAATCCGATAACTCAATCCAAATGAGAATCACGAAAGGCTCATGAATAAATATTTTAATGTATTCAAACATTCCAAATGAGACGACAAACAAAAGTATTTTAATTTAGGCCCCCTGAATAAAATTTTTGGCTCCGCCACCGATCAGGTGATGTGGACAATCCCACAGATAACTAAAAACAAAGCAAGAATTGTATTCCAAACGAAGAGAAAACCCCATTTCCACAAACTCAGAACAAAGAACAGACTAAATTGTATGGGAAACTCTATGCAACATCTCAAGATGCCAATTTAAGATTTATTTTTTTTTTTGGGTGTGGGGAGGAAACCAATTTCAGATCAGTTAACTCAAATAAAACCCTACTTGACAAAATTAGCAAATTGATCACCTCCATTGCAAACAAACTAACAAAAAAAATGAAAAAAACAAACTTTCCAGTGTAAGTTAACACTGAAACTTACCGTACACATTAGTATTCATGACATGCTCGAAGGTGGACATAGGGACCTCCGCGAGAGGGGCAACGTTGTGGATGCCGGCGTTATTAACTAGGATATCAATCCGACCAAACTTCGACAATGCACCTTCCACTGCCTTCCGGATGCCTTCGTCAGAGAGTACGTCGAGCTCAAGGAGGAAGAACCTTTGGTCACCTTCCAAACTTCTCATAGAGGATAGCGACCGAGCAGTGGCCGTCACTAGGCAGCCATTGGAGGCAAACTCCCGAGCAAGGGCGTATCCAATACCGCCCTCAGAGCAGCCGGTAATCAAAACCACCAGGTTCTCCGGCTCCGCCATAGAAGAGTGAGAGAGTGAGAGAGTGAGAGAGTGAGAGAGAGAGAGAGAGGCAGGGATTAAAGCAGAAGAGGGGTGGTTTTTATGGTAATTTTTTGGTGGGCTCAAAATTTTCAGAGACCTACCCATTTATTTGAGCGTGAGAAAGGCTTCCCTGGGGCCAGGGCCAGCTTTCATATTATTTTTAAAGGAAGCTTTTATTACAAAGATTTAAAGTTTTTTATGTTAAGGAGGTCATTAATAAGATTTCTTTTTAGAAATTTATCTTGTTTAGCATTTAGAATGATGTAATATCTCAAAATTTAATTTGTGATATAAGATTTTGATGGAAACTTAATAAGAATACGAGATTATTTAATTGAATAGTATTCAACTAAAATAATTTCTATGGAAAAGATAGAGATTAATCTATAAAAAATATTTGACATAATCAAAATTGATTGTTATAACGTTTCTTAATAAAATTAATCTGCATTGAAGATATTGAGAAAAATTCAACATAGATGTTTTGTCTATCCAACGTTGTTTATCAAAGTATTAATTGATGACGTTAACCTGTGTGAAAGCCGCTGAAAGAAATACATTAGAGATGTTTGACATATCCAATGTCATTTGTTAGTGTTGTTCTGTGATTTTAATCTATGTGAAAAGATCGAGAGAAATCCGTCAATGATATTTAACCTATTCAAGACTATTTGGACATTACGCTTAAAAAGATGATTGCTAGTAAGATTTTTTTTGGATAAATACACAAATATTAGATGAAAGGACTTGTGTATATTGTGCTTAAGATACATGAATATTACTTTGAGGTTGTAGCCAAAGTTGACCCCCAAATATATGATGTTCATACTTATTTTAAGATTTGGGATTTCGATCCATTTGTTGCACTTAATTTCTTTTGTCTTCAGATTTTTTTTTGGCAAACCCTATGTTGAGCATAGAAAAGTTACAGCTACGATATTACATACACTAATAAAATTGATGCAAAACAAGTTGATCAAAATTGATAAAACAATTTTTGCTCTGTCATCATATCCTAAGCTACAGTGCCGCTAAATTCACGTTGTCATGCTTTATTTTAATATTTATTTAAATCCTCACAGATCTTGTTGTTAATTAAACAAAATAATTTTAGATAATATATTTTGCATTTTATATGGTAGCAGTTTTAAATCTAAATCCAAAATATGAATGGATTTACGTGCAAAGTTATAACCCTGATTTTCTTTTGCTGATAAAGACTAAGTAATTGATATATTCTCAAAAATTAATCATGATTGGCCACGAATCTCAAGGCTAAATTAAGTTGGAAACTTTCAAAATTAAATTCGGGGCCATCTGAATTTTGATTTCTATAAACTTATAGTAGAATTGAACGTCTCAAAAAGACGAACCCAACGACATCAAATTTAACTCAATCTGAGCCCAAATGGATCCAAATCGAAGACCCGAAGCGCATTTGGAAGTTTCAAATCATAAATTGGATGACCAAACGGTTTCCAAACATGACATGCTTATATAGTTGAATTAAGCGGCCTTACGAGACGAGAAATATGATATCTCTCTTACCACCAAGCTCCTCCTCAACCACTGCCCAATCACCTATTGTCATTGGACTTATGCTTGGCCACCGATTGTTATTGGACTTCCGCATGGCCACTAACTATTGTTGGATTTACGCCCGGCCACCAACCATGCATCGTCAAACTTTCGCCAGACTTCTGCCCAAACGCCAAATATTGTCGGATTTATGCCCGGCCACCAACCATTGTCGGACTTCCACCCAACCACCAATTATTGTTGGACTTATGTCTTGCCACCAATTATCATCAGATTTCCTCTCGAAAACATTCTTCCCGACCACCTTCACCTGTTGACTACAGTCCTTTCGACCTTCGTCACATGCCGACTAAGATCTTTCCGACCTTAGTTTCCAAACCACGGTCTTTTCGACCTTCATCTCCTACCAACTACAATCCTATCAACCGTGTTCATCTAGACTTGAGACCAGCATCCACGGTTATAAATTTATATAATTTATTTTCAACTTGTATTTATTAGAATGTATAATATGAGTTTGACAATATCCTCTTTGTTAGCAGCAATCCACTTCACCGCACAAATAACTGAACAACACATGTCACTTGCACCATCACCATGTGCACGGCTATGGTGACCTACAGCATATGTGTATAACAAAGTTGTACTATCTAATACTCTATATGTACCGCAGCTCTTCTATTGTACATGATTGATGGAATGAAATGTTTTTTACTACTGTTTTCCTCTCTGCATTTCCTTCTCTATTTTCCCCTGTTTCTGCCTTGATCTTCAATGCTCTTAATAAGTATATTCTTCTCACTATATAAAAAAAATGATAAAAAACACAAACAAAAACTAATTTTGAACTAAAAAAATTTATTGGTTGAACGGTTTTTGGTTTTTTGTACATGCAACGGAATTATTTTTAGTTTTTTTTTTTCAGATGCAACTACAGAGGGGAAAAGAGAGAGAGAGAGCTCGAACTCGATTTCAAGCTCGACGACTTATCGAGCTCGAACAGGACGCTGCTCGGCTGCGAAGCTCATAGGTAGCAAATCCAAAATGCGAGCAGGAAATCCAAAACCCGAACAAGCTCGGGACGACAACGATCGACGATTAAGCTCGGGACGACGACGACCAACGGTTACGCTCGAGACGACGAGCTCGGGACGATGGATCTCGATGGCGGAGCTCGGGAAGACGACGAACGAGCTCAGGACGACGATTCTAGACAGCGGACGTGTAAAACCCTTCAAAAAGCTGATTTTTTTTAGTGCAGTTCGTCTGTACGAACTGGATTTAGTACTGGACGAACTGAAGAAATTTGTGAAGAAATCTGCCATTTTCGTCTGTACGAACCTGGAGCAGTCGGGACGATCCGTCAGGAC